GGAGCTCAGCGGTCAATAACTCGGGTTCAGAGAAATGGTTAAGCTGACCAGAATGGGGGAAACTCACCAATCGAAATTGGTGGTGTGTGTAGAAATCACACTGAAGAAATGCATTCAGGCATATGGAACACGTGGTTGTGGAAAAAAAATACCTGGTTCTGGATCCCGACCCTGGGAGAGGAGCTCAGGGTGGGAGAGCCTCACGGCACCAATGTAATGGATTGATTAAAAAATGCTGCTGGATCTCTGGTGGCTGCAGCGGCAGAAACACTGCAGGTCCCCAAGCGGCAGCAGTGGGCAGCCAGTCCTAGGCAAGGGACTGGTGCAGGTTCCAGAGTGGATGCAGGCCATGAGGTAAGACAGACAGACAGGTATGCTACGAGATCATGCCACAGGTGTCCGAAGGCGGCTGTTCCTGGGCAGGGAGCCACACAGCAGGCAAGAGATAGACGGATAGATATTTTTAAAGGGACAGCTTTTAAAATTTTTTCAATTTGTAAGGATATGAGGCCTTTTTCTTTCTTTCTTTCTTTTTGTTTTTTTGAGACAGGGTTTCTCAGTAGCAATGGAGCCTACCCTGGAACTTGCTTTGTTGACCAGGCTGGCTTTGAACTCAGAGATCCTCCTGTGTCTGCCTCCAAGTGCTGGAATTAAAGGCATGCACCACCACTGCCCGGCAAGGATAGGAGGCATTTAAAGTTTATAAAATGTTTTATTAAAAATGTTTTGTATTAAAAAATGTTTTGTATTTTATTAATATGTAATCTAAAACAAACGAACAAATAAATGAAAGACTAAAGAGTTAAGGCCACAGCTACAAGCACCAAACACTAAGCACCAGCAGCTGAGCTATTCCTATCTTGTGGTGCAGCCAGAACGACCTCAGCGGTCTGGCAAAGAGCTTGGAGCAGCAACTCTCAGCCTACGGGTCATCACCCTTTGGGGGTCAAAGGTCCTTTTCACAGGGAGTTTAGGACCATTCTCATGTTGGATTCAAATTGTGATTCATAACAGTGACAACCTTGCACTTCTGAAATAGCAACGGAAATGATTTTACGATTAGGGTGTCTCCACAACATGGGGCACTGGAAACACAGACTCTGAGAATGTCTCTCCTTACCTAAGGTCTGTGATTAAGAATGCATGTCTAGCCTCCTTGTCCTTGCTACTTTGTTAAGCTTAAGCTGTTTTGATAAACTGAGTCATATAAAACCACGTAGGAAGCAGGCAGTACAGCTGTCCGTCTTCTTAACCACACTTATAAAGCAAAGCTTGATTTTGATATTGAAAGGGCTTCAGTTCAGAAATTGTTGTTTTTTTTTTTAAGGCTCAAACTTAACAGAGATACAGCCGCAAGTACCAATCTTAGAAAAGCTACTAACTTACTGTAAGCTCTTAAAGGTAATTCAGACGTGCAAGTATAGTCCTGCTAAGTAATTAATTATAATGATAAGCCTTATTTAGCCTCCTATCAAATTTTAAAAAAGCAATGTTTGTTTAGCTTAGGAGACTATGGTCCTCACACTCTTCAGAGGCCTGCTGAATGTGGCATTAAAATGTGAAAGGAGAAAGCTTACTATGACGTCTCCTAACAGTGACCTCATGGTCTCCTAACAGTGACCCCGTGGTTTCCAAGAGGATGATGGGACATGACGTCTACCTCATCTGGATTGTGGGAACGCTAACCACGAGGCATAACTGCCAGGGCCCTGCTCAAACTGAGGATAAGCCCTGGAGGGCTGACTGCTCCACTTCACCTTGACCCAGTTGGGTCAGTCCCCCAACTTCCTCCTCCACAGGAAAGGTTTCTCAGGTCACTTGCGGCTGGTGGCCAGACACTAATGATACCATGGTACCTCCATCCCCAAGGGAAGCCACAGAGACCACGGGAGTCTGGGCCATTTGAATTGACACAAAGGCCCTTTGGATCTGCCTCCTGCTCCATTTATCCTCCTCAGACCGCTGACTAACTGCAGCTCCGTCAGTGGCAGCAGGCAACCAGCTCCTTCCCCGACTGTACCCATTTATAGCTCATTTCATATGTAAAAGTCAGGCCTTGCTTTTTCTAGAGCTCCTAAATGGGCTGAGAAAGGCAGACAGGTTTGCCTGGCTAACAGGCTTCATATTAAAGGATACACAGGTTTCAGATGTAACTTTTCATTAAAGGAACGAGCTTTGCAATGACTGTTCTCAGTAATAAGTACTGTCTCTGGCTCATGATTAGATGGAAAGAAAACAGGTTAAAGTTTATATAGGTTCTGAGGAGCAGAGGAAATGTTCCACGGCTCCTTCAGGTCTAAGGATAGGAAGGCTTGAGTAAGTTCTGAGGGTCTAATCACGTGATTTTAGAGACGGGCGGTGGTGGCACACGCCTTCAACCCCAGCACTCGGGAGGCAGAGGCAGGTGGATCTCTGTGAGTTTGAAGACAGTCTGGTCTATAGGAGCTAGTTCCAGGACTGGTTCCAAAGCTACAGAGAAACCCTGTCTTGAAAAACCACCAGAAGAAGAAGAAAGAAGAAAGAAGAAGAAGAAGAAGAAGAAGAAGAAGAAGAAGAAGAAGAAGAAGAAGAAGAAGAAGAAGAAGAAGAAGAAATTAAGAAAGAAAATGATTTAAGACTTGTAAGTATGAGTGTTTATGCTGTTCTGACAAATAAAGCTTGCCTGGAGATCAAAGGATGGAACTAGCCACAGGTTAACCCTAGAAGCTGGGCAGTGGCGGTTCACACCTTTAATCCCAGCACTGGGGAGAAGATAGGGAGTGATAACGTGGGGTGGAGCCAGGCACTTGGACTTTTCAGATGGAGGAGCTGGAGGGGAAGGAGCAACTGGCAGCGGCTCCAGGTTCTTTGATGTTCCGGGTTTTTATTGATTAAGATCATTTAGACTCTTCCCCCTTCTTCTATTTTGGCTGCAAGCCTAGCTTTTAAAGCCGAGCCATCTCTCCATAACACCAACCCTTCCTCCTCTGCTATGTTGCGGTTATACTAAGATTTCAAACTTCAGCGTTTTTGATCAGTGGGGTCTGATAAGCTGGTAGACAGCGACTGCTATTATCAGTCACAGGCTCAGGATTTCAAATTTTCTTTTTCTTTTTTTTTTTTTTTTTTTTTTTTTTTCTAAGTGTGCTTATCAATCAGGCTACAACATCTCAGGCACTCTGGATAGAGGGAAAAAATGTTTCTGTTTTTTAATCCAAAACCATGGTTTTTGCTATGACTTGGAAGAAACACTGTCCATACCATCTGTTTTAAAGACTCACGACAGCTGCTTTGTCTACAACGTGGGTCTCAGCACAGACTACAATGGTTGTTATTCCCTTGGAAACTACAGCTCCCAGACTCCTCCTGGAGTACGAACACCTTGGCGCCCGCGCGCCCAGGTGAAGGCCATTCCTCCCAGATAACCTTGCGCCCCCCGTTAAAAGCGAAGGTCCACGAGGCTTCGCTCTCTTGGCCTCCCTCTTGGCCCCCTACCCTTGTGTGTCTTGCACGTCCCACCCCTTACTGTGTTTCCCTCTCCCCATTAAAGCGCACCCACGTGGGAGCCGCGTGTCCGTCTCTTCCTTTTGCGTCTATCCTGTGTTTATCCACACACCCACGCCGCCGCCGTTTTTAAAGGAATAATAATGGTAACGCTAATATAGCTAAAATTCTATCTCTTTTTGTAAACTAAAAAGGAAAATTCATGTAAGCTTCAGGGAGTTGGGGGAATCATAAGACTTGGATCCATCTCTCACCGGTCAAAAGGACTCAAGATAAGTACAGCCTGTTTCCCCACATGCCGGTCCCTGAGTCTTTGAACTCCCTCCCCCAACTGCCAGGACTAGGGACCTGAAAGTTCCAAATCTAAGATGTTCCTTTAAGTTCCTAAACTTTAACTTCTGTCTACATCTCTCTCAACAGATTTCCAGGCAGCTGACAGACGCCATCCAGGGAGCAGCTGCAGACGATCTGCTACGAGGGACCGCGAGCCCTACCGCGAGCCCTAGATGGGCTGAAAGTGATGTGGGCCAGTCCAGCTGGTGGGATTGCTCGCTGCCTCATCTGGGGCAGCGAACTAGATGTTCCTGATGAATGCCCCATTGCCCAGCCTTTTCTAGCCTTTCAGCCTTCCTGGGCCCTGACTTCAAGAGGAAGTAAAGCACATCACCCGGTATCCTCCTCAAAAGGCTGGAGAGTTAGTTCAAAGGAAGCTTCCTGGCCTAGAGGACGAAATAGCTAAATTGGCATGCCAGGAAAGGTACCTGTTAAAACCAAACAGACCAGATCTATCCACAGGTGGGTTGAGTAGCTGAAGTCACTCTACAGTATGATGGGGCACGCGGCCTGCTCTGTGTAGAACAAGGAGGTTTGTGTACAGCTTTAAGATTTATTATTATTACTATTATTATTGTTGTTGTTCTATTCAAACCATTCTGAATTAATTAGAGATGATCTGGCCACACTAAAAAAAAAAAAGCATTACAAAAAAGGGGGGCCTTGGATGAAATAAACGACAAATCCCATTCTCATTTCCAGGCTCCTCCTAGTTTTGATTACGGTGCCTAAGAGATCCATGAAACAAAAACCCCTCTAACCTGTGAGCCCCTTGCCCAAGGACAGACACATTCTGAAACGCTGGAGGTTGGTGTTTATGGGAGAAAACAAGCCATGTGTTCTTCCTCCCTTCAACACCTTTGTTGACCCAACACTACTGGATGAGCTTGATCACACGTGGGTGGGAAACACGTGGATAGGAAATGTGTCAGGACATATGCTCGCCCCATCGGACCTGAGAGAAACATGCTAACTTTATGGGATTGACCCCCTCTTTTTTGCTGGTTTTTCGATATGGGTTTTCTCAGTGTAGCCCTTTCTGTCCTGGAACTCACTCTGTAGACCAGGCTGGCCTCAAACTCACAGAGGTCCGCCTGCCTCTACCTTCTGAGTGCTGGGGTTAAAGGCGTGCGCCACCACCGCCTGGCTGACAAAATAAAATTTAAAGGAGATAATAGATCACTGAAGAGTTACCCACAAAGGGGTGCAGCTCAGGTCTGAAAGATCACTGAGGAGCCACCCACAGGGACGCAGCTCAGGTCTGCTTCTCAGTAGCTGACCTCTGACCACTGTCCTCATTTAAAGAGTAAAAGGCGCTGGAGAGACAGCTTAGCAACTAGGAGCGCAGACTGCATTTGTAGAGGACTGAGATCAGTTCTCAGCACCCATGCCAGGCAGTTCCACACTGACATCTCTGCCTCTTGCAGCCCCATGCCACACCTATTTAAAATAAACATTTTTAAGGATTTATTATTTTATGTACACTGGTATGTCCAGGGTGCCAAAGGCTCTGGAACTAGAGTTATAGCAGTGTTGAGCTGCCATGTGGATGCTGGGAATTGAACCCAGGTCCTCTGGAAGAGCTGAGCCATCTCTGAAGCCTCCCCACAGTCAAATAATTTTTTTAACGTGACAGAAACACAGACACCTCCATGCTCCTCTTACCTCTTTTGTCAGGACTGAAGTTGACATTAAAGGTTGAGCCTCAGGAATGCAAACTGGTACAACCCCTTTGGACGTCAGTGTGGCGATTTCTCAGAAAAGTAGGAAACAACCTTCCTCAAGACCCAATAATACCACTTTGGGGTATATATCCAAAGGATGCTCAATCGTGCCACAAGGACATGTGCTCACCCATGTTTATAGAAGCTTTGTTTGTCATAGCCAGAACCTGGAAACAACCTAAATGCCCCTCGATCGAAGAATGGATAAGGAAAATGTGGTACATTTACACAATGGAGTACTACACAGCAGAAAAACACA